TGTGTGTGTGTGTGGGAGGGGAGCTCCTGACTCTTGCTGTGCGGGGTCCGGACCCTGACCGGTGTGGGGGGAGCTCCTGGCCCCTGTTGTGTGGGGCTCCTATCTCTGACTGGTGGGGGGGGGGGGGGGGGGCGGGGCCCGGGGGGGGGGGGGCCCGGGGCGGGGGGGGGGGGGGGGGGGTCCTGGCCCCTGTGTGGGGGAGCCGAGAGCCACAGCGGGCTGCCAGTCATGAACAACCTACCTCACTGCAGCGCCTACCCTGTGTTTCCATCCCTCTCTGCCAGCCAATCAACTGGGCGCACGTTGGACTGCGGGTGCCATGGTTACCATGTAAACACGCTGCCTCTGGGCTGGAGCAGGAGAGCGCAGGGCCGCTGGGACCGGAGCTGTATCGAGAGTCGCCCCCTCCGGGACACGGGCACCGAGCCCCCTCCCCCAGCCCCGCCAGCACCATGTCCTCCTCCACCCAGGCCGGCAAGGGCAAGAGCCTTAGCGTCGTGGTCAGCTTGTGAGTGTCCCGCCGCAGGGTCCTGTATCGGTCACTGGCCACCGGCCGGGCAGTGGGCTCAAGAGGACACGGCGGGCAGGCTGGGGGCCTGTCATCTCCACAAGCCCCGGCTGCTCAGACAGCCAGGGCCAGTGCAACCATTTAGGCAAACTAGGCGGCCGCCTAGGGCGCCTAGTGGTTGGGGGCACCTAAAAGCTGATCCACGTGGTGCTCGGGCACCAGCAATATTCAGAGCCAGGGGCCCAGCTCCAGCAATATTTGGGGCTGTGTGTCCCCCCCCCCCGCCCCACCTGCAGCCCCCCCCCCCACGCCTTCCCCGAGTGTCCTCTGGCCCTGATTTGCTGCCCCCGCCTTTCACAGTCTCCCCCCCCCCCATTCTCTGTCCCGGAGCAGAGCCTGTCTGTCTTTGTCTCCTCCATGCTGCTTCCCTGCAACAACTGCTGCCGCAGGGTCCTAGTGCCCCCCTGCTCCACTGCCAGGGCAGACTGACTCTGAGCCTGCCCTTCCCTCTCAGACCCTTTCATTTTCCAATGGGACCCTCCAGCAGCACAGGAGACCCCCCTGCCCGCAGTCACTGCTCCTGTCCCATGTTGGGCAAGGAGGCACCCCCATCCCTCACCCCCAGTGAGGCTACAGTCAGGGGCAACAGCAGGGGAGGAGGCACAGGCAGCGCCCCACCATGGGGGAGGCAAGGGAGATTCCAGGACCTGAGAGGGACCCTAGGAGCACATGCAGTGACAGTGGTGAGGGTGAGTGTGCTGCTGGGGGTGCAGGAAAGGGGGACTCCTCCCCCAGAGCTTGCTGCTGCTGGCAGGGAAAGGGCTGGGGGGGAGTCGTCTCTGGCCCCTGTCCCAGAGCAGCCTGCCTGTACCCCAAACTCATCCCCAGCTCTGCCCCACCCCAGAGCCCACAACCCCAGCCAGAGCTTTAACCCCCCACTGCACCCTCAACCCTCTGCCCCAGCCCCTCCAGCACCCCAAATACCTTATCCCCAATCCCAGCCAGAGCCCTCTCCCCCCACACTCCTACTCTTGCCCTGAGCCCCTCCCACACCCCAAATCCCCCATTCCCAGCCCCAGACAGAGCCCTTACCCCCACACTCCTACTCTCGCCCTGAGCCCCCCCACACTCCAAACCTCTCCTCTGCAGCCACACCTCACACCCCTGCACCCCTTCCATCCCAAAACTCCCTCCCAGAGCCTGCACCCTGCACCCCAGTCCCCTGCCTAGGGCCTGCACCCCAGATCTCCTTCCTCACCCAAACTCCTTCCCAGAGCCTTGGGCAGGTGGGGGGTGGAGTTTGGGCGGGGGCGGGTTCTGGGCATCCCCAAAATTTCTACAAACATGCTATCCCTGCGAGGAGGTGGAGTGAAGGTGAGCTGGGGCGGGGGGAGGGCCGCCCACAGTAACAGGGGGGGACGCACAGGGGAACCGCTCCCCGCCCCAGATCACCTCCACTCTGCCTCCTCCGCTGAGCACACAGCCCCCGCTCTAAGTCTCCTCCAATCGGCGCCGCAAGCCTGGGAGGGGAGGAGAATTAGAGCGGCGCTGGCGTGCTCAGCGGAGGAGGCGGAGCCGAGGTGAGCTGGGGGGGGTTCCCCGGGCGGGGTTAGCTGCCACAGAGGGGGGGGTCTCCCCGGGCAGGGTTAGCTGCCGCAGAGGGGGGGTAGCTACTGCGGGGGGGCTCCCCAGTTGGGGGTGGTGGTGGGCTCCCCGGGTGGGAGGCTGAGTTAGCTGCCGTGGGGGGGCGGGGTAAGCTGGGGGAGGGGCGCAAGGTGGAAGTTTTGCCTCGGGCGCAAACCTTCCTTGCACCGGCCCTGCAGACAGCGCTCGAGCTAGTGGTTGTCTCTGCTAATCCTGGCAGACCAGGCTTCATCCCAGTGCTATAAATCTGCACTGAGAATGTGGGGTTTTGTTGGTTACTCATGCATCCGATGAAGTGGGCTGTAGCCCACGAAATCTTATGCTCAAATAAATGTGTTAGTCTCTAAGGTGCCACAAGTACTCCTGTTCTTTTTGCGGATGCAGACTAACAGGGCTGCTACTCTGAAACCTTAGTTTACAAGATATCTCTCCTATCTGATCTATGTGGTACGTTTCAAGTGCACCCATCCCTGGAGTACCTAGCTACCAGTAAGCTTTCTTTGCAGTTAGCATCTTCCACACAAGGATCTCAGGGCATTTTAGAGCAATGAATGGACTAAACCTCACAGCTGCCTTGTGAAAGAGGGAACCCTAATTTTACAGATAGAAAAACAAAAGCACAGCTATATGATTCACCAAACTCCAGCAGAAAATCTTTGATAGAGTTGAGAACTGTACCTACGTGGCCTGAATCCAAATCCTACATTTTAATCCAAAGACTGTGCTTCTTGGTCCTTCATTTCCATACCAGTTGCCTTTCACCACACTTAGCCCCATAAAGAGACAAGAACTTTAGCATTTCTTCTATTCTGTTATTTTACAGTTAACATTTGCTTCTGTGTTTGTGAAGTTGACATTTTGTAGTAGACATCCACAATTTCACTACAGCTTTATACTGTTCATCTGCTAAATAGTCAATATAAATTTCTTGATCATATTTTGTTTGGTTGAAATAGGACATCAAAGCTGGAGTTAAATATGAAGAAGACGACATCTATTTCAGGAACTAGCAGCCAAAGACGAATGAGCTATGTTAGTGGTTTCAACCCAAACAGAGTTGGATCATTGAGTCGAAGAAGCATACTGATGGCTTCTGATGGCAAAACCATGGATAAAGGGTCTCTTATAGGGAGTAGGCATACCATTCAGGTAATGAACTTTTCAATACCAAATATTTCTAATTATGTTTAACTGATAATCTTAAAAGTTGTCTGGAAAGAAGCTTGGGTGGATTGCAGAGGGAAAAGAGGACAGCGTGACAGGGTAACTCTGACTCTGAATGTGACAAGGGTAAGCTTTCTAGGAAAAGGGGAAGCCAGTGCAGATATTCCAGAAAGTGAGAAAACCCGTTGGAAAGGATGGATGATGATCAGTGTTTAAAAAGTGACCCTCACAGGAAAACAAAATATCTGTGCCCTTTTTGCTTCTTTACAATATACTGAGGAAGGCTGAGATTTCCCCTCTCCTTTATTTTCTAATTTACAGAGTTTCTGCCTTGTCTTCCCTGTTTTTTTCTAGGTGACACTTTGGAGGATTCCTTGGAAGTCCAGAGAACTAGTGTAGGAGATTCCCTTGCTCTTAAGGATCAGGAATGTTTAATCTTTAACAAAAGATCTTTTATCCCAAAAGGACAGTCATATATGTTAAATTGATTTTAAAAAAATTGTGATTAAAATGAATTTCTTTTACAGGTGCACAGGTTTCACTGGTACATTTGATGTCATAAGATAGCTAGTTCTCCGTGCCCATGGAGTCTTGGGGAAAAACAGGGTACATGAGACCACCATTTTTGCTTTTGAAAAAACAAGGAGGATTTTCCCCCCTTAATCTTATGCATTCATCCATCATGAAGAAATAGAAATATTTTTTCTGTCACATCTTATATAGCAAATATTTGCTACGTCTAGCATATCTATACTTGCTTGCCTTGATTTGGTTGTAGGCTGTATACAAACAGCTACATGCTCAAGGAAAGCTTGATTCCAGATCAAATAAATGAAAGATAACTTTTATAAATTCAGTATGTTATATTAATATCCAACTAAGGTTTTCCATGCAAACTGATAAGAATTGTCAATCTAGGCTAAAGCATATTATATACATGCATTTCTCTCATACATGCAGGGGTCTTACATGGATCCAATCCATTTCATTAGCCCTGAATGTGACACTAAGGCTGCGCATAGGACACTGTGCATTGGAATGACTTTTACCCTTAGAGAATGTCAGGTTCCAGTTCTGTTAATATGCCATCTTTCACAAACATTTAAGAATTGTTCTCCTAATTAAACAAACAAAAAGTGGAGAAAACGTTCTTTTGAAAAAACATTTCTTTTTTTTTGATTTTGTAATAATAATGCTTTGAATTACTATAAGAGCTTTTATCCTGTATTGCCAAGGCACTTTACAAATCGTAATTGCCTCATAGCACTCAACGTGGGGAGGTATTATCTCCTTTTTATAAGTGGGAGACTAAAGTAGGGAGATTTAACTGACTTACAGGGGTACATAATAACTCAAATTGCCAAGGAATACATATATTTATAGAGCAGTGAAATTTACTTTTTCCATTACTGGCTTGTGTTGATTTGAAAAATCAGCCATTTAGAGCAACAGTTTTCTTCTTAAGTTGAAAATAACCTGTGTTTAAATCCATGAGATATGTTGACAGGAACATTTGTATTTGTTTAGCTGACATAGAGAAGAAATTCCAATATAAAGTATCAAGAACATTCTGTTTAGAAACCTTACAATCCACTTACAGTATATTTTCTTGCAGAAGAAAGATTTTTTTAGGGGAGGGACTAATAAAATTTAATAAAATTGCATAATAATTTCATAATATTAGCACTGTGAACCAGCTAGCCTCTGATTTATACCAGATTTTGCCAGAATTTAGGTCTGCTAGATTTCTTCATCATGACGGTTACTATAAAGCAGCACAGCCTGAAAAGTCAGCAGTGGTGATCAGGGTGAAAGTGTGCCTCAAGTAGCTGGTGTCTGTAGTTTCTCAGCATATTCCTGAAACAGCCTCCACTGGCAGAGTTCCTAAGAAGCTCTTGGCAGAAACTAAAGATGTCCTCTCATAGTTGAACCCCTTGAGGGAGAGCGGCAGTACAAACAACATCTACCCTCTCAATGTATGCTGGCACAGAGAGGTTTCATTGCTCCTCCCTATGTTAACTACTAGGGTGAATGTTCCTGTACCTTCTAATACTAATAAAGTTAAATGTTGCATAGCTGCATTTGTAGCTCAAACGTTTGTCTTTTTCACCAACAGAAGTTGTTCCAATAAGAGATATTACCTCACCCACCTTGCATAGCTACATATCATTTTCATTTGTTTAGAGAACACAAGATCATTTTTATTATTGTTATTTAAATATTCAGGTATTTGATGAGCAAGGGAAGGATGTAACACCTCGGCCACTCTATCATCCAGAACCAAGTGCTTCGCTACACAGACAAAGCAAAATCTTATCAACGCAGGATTTCTCTGGGGCCACTGGATCTGATTTTCTGTCTTCCTTATCCATGCATCAGACATCTGGAGTTAATGCTAGTTTAGTAGGTCCATTCTCAAGGTAGGTTGTTGCATTCCTTGGGTCAAATCTTGGCCCATGCTATACAGGATTCCAGAATGGCCATGTATGTAAGCTTCAGAAGTGCTAGTACCAGGAATAATTGGAGCCCTGGGTTCCAGTCCCTGCTCAAATTATTTTAAGGCCCCTCCAATCTCCTTGGCATTTCCTGTCAGATAGCTTAGGTGGATCCCTGCTCAGCATGCTGGCTTTTGTGGATCCCAGTCTTAGGCACCTAACTCTCCCTATGTATTGTATAGGGAGCCTAGGTGCTTAATTCAGGGCTGTGGATTCCACTAAGCGGAAAGGGACCTAAAGTTAGGTGTTGCAACACTGAGGCTCAGTCCAGTCCGCTTTGTGTATCTAGCCCTCAGTTGCCATTGCAGTACGGCGTAAACTTAAGGGTTTGCATTTTAAATTTTGGGAATAATAACCAATATAATGGAATCTATCTATAATTTGTCAGTCACACCTTCCTTAGCCTATTTTCCTACGCTGCATTATATTCTTGTATATTTTTAGACACACACCTTTTGAGGAAAAGGAAGTATACTAAGAAAACTGTTATACACAAGTAGGTTTTAAAAAAACCTTCATCACAACCACTCCTTACACATAGATTATCACTGTTAAGGCAAAATGAAAAAACACAATGAGACAATTAAGTGTATATGATTTTCAAGATGTTTTCTTATATATTTCAAAGAAATGTCAAAGGATTGATAGTGAAAAGTGCTGAAGACTCTCACCTGACAGTCGTGGGCTCATAGCATCACACAGCAACATCGCTCGCCCTTACGGCTAGTAAAAAGTGGGAGGGCATAGCCCTCCCCTTTTTAAAAGTGTGGGGGGGCATGGCTCCCTGGCCCCCTCCTGTTCCGGCATTCCTGCTCCACACTTCCCAGCCAGCCTTGCTGCTCTAACAGCACCACTGGCTGTGTGGCCTAGAGATTGGATGAGGCTGGGGTTCAAGAGGTCAGGGATCTAGTCCTGGTGTCACCGTAGGTGAGTCCCTTGGCTTCTCTGAGTTTCAGCATCCCCAGCTGTGAAATGGCAATAACCACCATGCTTTGAGATCACTGCCTGATGCGTGCTGTGGTGAATGGATCCCAGATCTTATTAAATTCTTCCCCATCATCTTTTCAGTACCATAGGATACTCTCTCAGATGAAGTCTTAATTTATTAACTCTTTTAAACAAATTCATTATTTTCTTTCCAGTGTCTTTCTAGGATTTCTCTTGTGACACAAGTATTTGCTGTATGCACAATCACTATGTAATGTGACTTGGCTATCCTACTACCAGTAATTCATTATTTTTGTATTATTTTGAATATTGCCATTTCTGGACTTTATTTCTGTATATTTCTTTGTTATTAAAGGACATATGGAAGCAGCAGTATTTCTAAATCAACATCTACAACTGAGTCTATGGCAGATGAAATAGTAGAGCCTGGTTCTAGACGAGACACAGCTATTAGCTTATCTGGTAAAGAAAATGTGCTGTTGTAATTACAGAGATTCATACTGTTGGCTTTGAAGCATGATTCTGGGAGACACTGAAGTCGGTAGAAGTTGAGGGGTGCTGTGCACCACTCGAGGAGCTCAGTGCCCCATAGTATGTGACTCCAAGTCAACACTATTATTTTTTACAGTTAAGTTTTCCTCTTTTGATCTTAGAACAGAAAAATATTTTCATTTTCACATTATATAATTTGACAGATGTACAGGTGAGGCGAGATGAGATAAAAGAACAACTGACAAAAGAAGACATTGATAAGAGAGTGGATATTTACCTCACGGAGACAGAAACTATCTGGCTATTGGACATGCCAACTGTCATGATGTCTGTAGAATCTGAAGATGCTGAAAAAGTGCAGTATGTATATTTACAATTTCACACACACTTTGGTATCCCGAGCCACAATATGCTCAATGCCCTCAATTTCCATTGACTTCAGAGAGTTGAAAGGGCTCATGAACATACAGGATCAAGGTCTTTACTACCTATATTTCACAAGATGACTTTTGTCTAAATGCCATACTGTACTCGCTTCCATCTCTAAACATGACAAGCTAGTCTTCTTTACGCTGTCTTGCTGACTGAATTTAGACCTTTCACCTACTGGGGCAGATAAAGCAGTTAGTGAAAAGCAGGGGTGGGTAGTATCCTAGTGACAACAAAACCCATTACTAAAATGAATGTTTTATTTTAAAAAATCATTTCCCTTTACCCAAGTAAAAAGGCTTTCAAAAACAAATGTCAATCTTTAATTATTTACCATCAGTTGGAGCCCCATCATCATGCTAGGAGGAAGATCAGGAGCAGTTTTTATTGCTTAAAATGCATTTATTATGTAGCAGTGCTATGTAAACATAGGAAAATCAGACTTTTAATCCAAACATTAAAGGGACACACTCAGATAAACATTATATGGTATTAGTAACACAGGAAAGGATGTTTGTTTTCTTAAAAAACAAACCAACCAACAACCCGTAGAAAGGATTTAGAGCCTCATTCTGCAAATGCTTGCATTTAAGGCAGTTATTCACTGTAGTAAATGCTGTGCTTGGTAGTACGTTTGTGGGAGGATCAGGTTCTAGATGGCTAGAGAGCCTACAGGAGTTAGGTTTTGATACAGAAAAACTGTTCTGGGATTTCTGGTTTATTTACAGCAGTTCAGGTTTACTAAAAAACAACACCCCCCCCCAGTTTGGCAAAAGACTCTGGATGTGTGCTTTCCATGTAGCTTTTCAGTCAGTAATTCCTGAACAAATGTATAAACCAACAAACTAGATAATCTTTATGTTTCCCTGAGGCTGCTGTCTCTTTCTACTACTAAAGTAACCCAACCCCTTTTTAAAGTGTAGAGCCTAAATAGGCTCCGCTGCACCTAATTAATTCCCACTTTGGCATTTTAGGCTAAATTCACAAAGGTACATAGGTGCCTAAACCCCAGACTTAGGTGCCTAAATTTGGGGGTTTACATACACCAGCCGTTCCCTGTAGGTGCCTAAACGAACTTGGCACCTAAATTTTCAGAATAAACATTTCCTCTGCCTAAATGTCTGCCTCTGGGTATGCGCACTGCTGCCTCAGTGTAGGTGTCCAGGTGCTTATCTCCCACCTAAGCCCCAGAGTGATTCACCAAACCAGGGAAGATAGGCTTACCTCTATTGTCTGCGAGGCCCTACCTGGTAGGCATGCTCAGAGACTGCCTGCTAGATTGGGTCCCATTCAAAATCTGGCCAAAGGAGAAGCAGGTGGTGATAGTGCTACCCATCATACATGTTTTAGCAACCCAATAATTAGAGCACTCACCTCTGATGTGGGAGACCTGGGTTCAACTCCCTCTCTGCCTGATGGGGGAGAAAGAATTTGAAGAGGGATCTCCCACTCCTCAGGGGGAAGATGACCAAACTGTTGGTAGATTCAGGCTTAGTATAATCCACTTCTGCGTTTTGAGTATTAAAACTGAAAGAACTAAAAAAAGACATTTCCTCTTCACTATTTCTGCAGTTATTAGAGACTAGACAATATAGATTAATCACTTTCACTTTTGTATTTAGGCAGCATCTAGTTAGTTTCACTCTGTAGTAGAGATGGGCCAGAGCTACAAATTTCAGAACTGTATCTGAATTTCCCCAAAGTTCAAGGATGTTTGGATCTGGTGTTTTGGCTCAGGCCCATCTCTATAATACTTTTCTGATCTAAACAGTGTGGCAACGTTGGGGTAGCAACCACTGCAAGGGAATATTTGGAGCCAAATAAAACCTTTTTAATTGAAAGAGACAGAAGCAGTAGACTTTAGTTGAAAACACCATGTCCTGTGCAATGTGTAGTTTTAATATGGATAGATTTGGGTTTTTTTAACATGTATGTAATTTTTCAAAGGGAACGGAACAAGGATTATATTGAGCTTTGTAAAAATAGAGTTGGTAATGATCGCTTTGTGGAAAGGATGATGCAAACGCTTAATGGAGCACCAAAGAATAAAGAAGTGCAATGTGAGAAAATCCTCATGGAGGATAAAGGTAAATTATCATTCAAAAAAGTGATAAATATAGCAAATGTTGCTTAAGAGCCCTTTCCCATTAAACATTTTGTACATTTGCTAATTGTTATTATTGTGACTTATTAGTGATTAAACTTAGATTATTCATTACTTATGAAACATATTCAGGAGAACACTAAAATTAAAGAAAGACCATGCGACTTGGTCGAGGCTACTTTTGTGCAGGTGTATAAGCAGGCTAACAAAGAGTTCAGGAAGTAGACCTGGGTGGGAGATGGTTTTCCAGTCCTGCCAAAATTTTTGTGATTTCAATAATTTTTCCTGCCCCAAATTGGGATGAAAATTTAAAGTCTCAAAATTTTTGCAGTCTGAAAATCTGAAAAGAAAATTTGGTTTGGGTCCATCAAAATGTTTTGAAGGGTTGTTTCAAACTGGAAAACTGAAATTTTTTGTTTAGAAAATTTCAAAGTGGAATGTTTTGACACTTCCTAAACCTCACAAATATTCTTTACAATGAGAAATTTCTCAATTTCTTTCTCCTGCAGAAAGTTTCAGTTCAGTCAAATAAGTATTTTCTCCATAAAAATGTTTTGTCAAAAAATTCCTGAGCAGCTCTATCAGGGAGTCCTTTCCTTGCTTATACACTCATGCAGCAGCCAGCCAGAACGTTAGTGTTTGCATTTCTTGAGCATAAGATGAAGGTATGGTAGAGTGGCCTGAAGTAATCTGCATCCCAACAGAGATGTGGCAGCAGGAGATGGGATAGCAGCATCAGCAGGGCCCCTGCCTCACTTCTACACCTCCTACTCCTAGCATTTAGAAACTGGTCCAGGGAGCAGCACATTCATCCATTGAAAGGATATAGTAGTTGCTTCTGCTAAGAGCTCTCCCCCTTTGTATTCTGTCTGTCTCAGCACCACAGAGGCAGAGTACTTCTGGCAAGGCAAAACTATCCAAAACTCAAACTAAACATCTTTTTGAGATTTGAAAATGCTGTTCCTTTTTTGTCCTTAACTTTTCCAGTGGCTCTGGTTTCAGCTCTAGGCGAAGATAGCACAATATGGTAGCATGGAGAAGCTCTTTCACAGGATTTCAAATCTCAGTCAAACCAGGAAGTCCTGGCAAACATAGGAGAAGACTGTCTTATAAGACTTCTGCCTCAGTTTTCTAGACAAATTTGGACAAGTATGCAGGCTTTTAGATGTTTATCCAAATTTCATCACCCACTTATGGCATTTTCTTTATGAAGAAGGCAAAAGAATGGCTGTGGGGAATGGTGCTCTAAATCTTATTTCTTTGATTTATTTAATGTATATAAACTACATGTAAAAGGATAGTATTGTAGAAAAAGTAGAGAGGACATATAGATGTTCACATATATGTGTATAGATTAGATACAGAAATGAACTAGCAGTATATTCTCCACATTATAGGCATCTGTAATTCTGATTATTCTACATTCCAATTAGTTGATGTTTTGTAAAGTTGAATACATAAAGACTTATGGGTATATAAATGCTAAGTATTATTAAAGTTTTTTAATAGGAGATGGACACACACACTGATGGGAGACCCTACACACAGTTGACGTTAGTACACCCATGACAGCCCCACAGTTGCTGTTGTTGCAAACTTGTCTGACACTGTTTCTGTACCATTTTACCGAAGAGATTTGGCATCTCCTATAAAAAGTCTAATATTTCCCTGCATTTTAGTGCTTTACAGTAAATGTTTAGAAGCACAATACAGTAGAACCTCAGTTATGAGCACCTCAGGAATGGAGGTTGTTCGTAACTCTGAACAAAACGTTATGGTTGTTCTTTCAAAAGTTTACAGCTGAACACTGACTTAATACAGCTTTGAAACTTTACTATGCAGAAGAAAAGTGCTGCTTTCCCTTTATTTTTTAGTAGTTTACGTTTAACACAGTACTGTACTGTATTTGCTTTTTTTTTGGTCTCTGCTGCTGCCTGACTGCGTATTTCCGGTTCCAAATGAGGTGTGTGGTTGACTCGTCAGTTCATAACTTACTGTGCTATGGTATTGTGTAATTCATTTTTAGGGATAATGGCCACTTCTTGGGACTTGTATGATTCCTTTAATGCCTTGGAAACAACGCTTACATCTTCAGTAACGGAAAGAAGTAGCAGACCAACAAGTTTGAGTAGCAGTAAATCTAATGTGACCAAAGACCGTGAACGAACCATGTCTACGACTTCTACAGACAGAGGTAATTTTTCTTTCTAGGTTTAAATTTCTACAGTGTTTTTCTCCTTATAAAGTTGTGATTATCTGTATTTTTATAAAAATTATACTGAGAACATGTTCAAACTGCACAATTTAGCATTCAAAGTTAAAGTAAAAAAATAACAGGGTTAAGGTGGCATGCAGAACCTTAACTCTGTCCCCTTTTGTGTAAGAACTATGATAGTGTTTTATTACATCGTCACTACCACACCTAAAAAAATACAATATTATATTACACGTTTCTCTGCAACCTTAGCTACGCATTGTAGAATCATATACTTCAGGATGGTACACATGGGTATGGGCAAACAGGGTCACATACTATTTCTCAGACAATACTGTACAATTTTTATAACCCTCAGCAATTATTGACCATAAATTCCTATGCTCACTTTTACCAGATATAAAGGCTATAATGTATATTACAAGAAATAGGCTGCAGTCTTGCAGTTCATCCAGGTCCTCAGTTAACAAAACAAACCCAACCAGATTGGACAGCATTTGTCCTTCCCTTGAGTCTTGGACATCCATCAAAGCCTTCTAACTGTTTTTTTCCTCAGCTGAGACCCAGATAGGACTCTCTTAAAAGCCTGTCATGGCTGTTCCTTTAATCAACCAGAGATGTTGCTACTGAATGATGTGAAACACTTTCCTCTGTGGCGTATGCTCAGTATGCTGCCTCCAAAGCACTCTTAACCCATCCCCCTCATGGCCTGGTGTGGCTTTACAGGCTGAATCATAAGACTGTCACCTTATTTAAAGGGACACTTGTCAGAATAAAAACAATAGCTGTCAAATCAAATTTCCTTTATTAGAGTTTTAATATTACCTTAGAATATTAAAACTGGAAAACAAATTAAAAAAAATCATGGTACTTTCCACCATGTATGCAGTTTACTTTTTGCTCATCACTCAGCATGGACAATGGAAATGGATAATCACCTTTACTTGTATTTATGGTTATATTCTAATTGGTTTTATGTCCTGGGCCTCATGTTGCAATGTTTGAGTTTAAATTTAAGTTTAAACAAAAACAAAAAAACAGTTTCTTTTTAAAACATGTGGGAAAAAATCTTAAAGTTAGTTTGTTTTTCTCTTTTAAACAAAAATGCCACCCACGCACATCAATGGGTGTGGGGAACTCATGGGGTCAGCGGTGAAAGGGGGATGGTCCCAGTAGCAAGAGAGGGAGACACTTGCCAAGAGATAATAGGTAGTTCCTTCCCCTTGGGAATCTCTAGCATGCATTGGCCAGAGGGGGAGAGAGGGGCTGATTGGCCAGCATTCCCCAGCTCCCAGAATTTAGCCGGTGCAGGGACCATGTGGAGCCTCTTTTGGCTCCATTCCAGCAGCCCACCCTATCCACCCAAACGAGGAATGGGAACCGAGCTTGATAGAGGCTGCTGGTCTATCCCATCACCTGTTTAACTTGTATATCCTAAATGAGAACTAAGTTCTGCCCTTTAGATACGTGCACATGGGTCCCATTATCTGGGATTCACACAGACACTAGGGCAGAATTTAGCCCTAAGAGATTGTAGTGTAGACACTTTGTATTACATGGCTACTTGATAGAGTTTTGGAAATACAAAGAAAACAAAACTAAAGAACTAAAAAAAAGCTAATAGTGGAGATATTTATTGATGACAAGATTTTCTGGGGTGGGGTGGTTCTTCTGGCTTTTGCCTGTGAAATATATTGGATTATCCAGCTAAACCTGCCTTTTTCAATATTATCTGTTGGTTTTCCAGAGAGCATAACCTCAAGTTCTATAATCGATTTGGAAAGTGTTATTCTTGCCAGAATCCACGAAGAAGAGGAAGACCATTCTGAAGCGATATTAAAATCAGAAAAATTTCAGCAGGATTTATTTTTTATGGAAAGGGTTCTAATGGAGAATGTTTTTCAGCCCAAACTTGCAGCTTATCGGCAACTTCCTGTTCTTATAGGTATACTTCTCATCAGATATGTCATTCTCAATATGAAGGAGCCTATTTTGCATGCTAACAAATATACCAAGTAAAGATGCCCCTACTCTGAAGTCTTGACAGAGGAACCAATTCTGTTAAATAAAGACAAAGGTTGGGGAAGGATTTGCAAAACCCAAACTGGGGTTGTTCAGTACTATGCTCCATCTTCTCATCCCCCCCAAAATATACAGAGAGCTTTGTGGAAGGTTTGGATAAATGGTTCTTGAGCTGGCTCATCTCCACTATTAACAGCAATAAACTGAGACTGGTTTCCACAGTATTTATCAAACTAGTTTTTACACTGGATCTTGAGCTTCCAGAAACAATATGGCTTCATGGACAGAGCACTGGGCTGGGACTCAAAAGACCTGGGATCTATTCCTAGCTCTGCCACTAGCCTGCTGGGTGACTGCAGGCCAATCATTTCCCCACCCTGTGCCTTGGCTTATCCCCATTTGATAGATGGGAACAATGATACTGACCTCCTCTGTAAAGCACTTTGAGGTCTACTACTGAAAAGTGCTAGATATGATTGGTTAGTATGTTTTCTTGGTATTACAGCTCTTCACTAGAACACACAGTCTTTCAGCTCAGCTCAGATTAAAATTCAGGCCAGACTGGCAGTAAAAGTTTAATCATCTGATGGCTGTTCAGTGCCTATGCAAAATGAGAAGGTGGATTCACTGCAGATCATAAGTGTCACTTATTGGACTATTGTTGGCAATCTTCAATAAAGAAGCCAAGAACTGACGGGGGAGAGACTGAACTACCATTTTACCCCTTAGGGGAGGTCCAGTTAAAATAAGGATTAAAAACATATGAAGTGAGGCCTGTTATACCTGTTCACCAGACAGAGGGCTTCAAGTTTCCCAAGCTGTCAATCCAACACTGACCACAAGCAATAAATTCAATTTTTTAGGGAGGAGAGGGGGGAAACCCACCACCACACACACCCTGCATTTTAAAGGGCCCAGAAGAGCTTGCAGACTTAGCTTTTGCCCCACTTATCCCCACATCAAAAATTTCAAATCTTGCATCCTCTAATAGCATAAATTCCAGAGTGGTATTTGCTCTTGTTTGATGCTTTAAAAATCAGGGAAGTAGATAAGGGAAAGATTTTCAAAATCTCAGATGGGAGTTAGGTGCCAGTTCCTATTTGAAAGTCTACAGTAGATCCATATTACTTCACAAGAATGACCTGACAGCCCTTCCAGATTTGCAAATTTTGTTAACTGGCAACTAAGCAGAAAAAAAAACACCCCTAACAAATGAAATATAAGTATACTTTGCACATTTATATTGACAAATGCAATTTTACTGTAATTATAACATTTCATAGTAACCATTAAATGTGCTATGGTGACAATTTTCAAACCTGGATCCATAAAATTTGGCATCAATGTTGAAAAATTTACAACTTAGATTAACCAGTAAATAGGAGGAAACTTTCCTTGGGGGGAGGGTAGGTTAACCTATAACTACCTCCTGCAGGGTTCTTGAACCCTCCTATGAAACATCCAGTACTGGACACAATTGGTGATGGGACATTGGACTATCTGGATCGCTAGTCTGATCCAGAATGCTAGTTCCTATGATCCTACAAAGATGTTGGCCAAATTTTGAAAAATTAGTTCTCTGAATCTTCATTACAGTTCTCTGCTATGAAATCTTTGCTGAGAAGTGGGATGAGATCACTGTGTTTCTGGTCAGAATTAGCAGGATTGCAGATTAGTGGAGTACTACTACAATTCTACTGTATTTGTTGCATTTAGAACCAGTTCTTACATCTGATGCTGGCAAAGAAGAAGGAGAAACAGAGGAAGCAGAAGAGGAGGAGGAGGAAGGGGAAGAGGAAGAGGAGGAAGAGCAAAAGGAAACAGTAGTTAGTTCATCAATTTTGTTAGATCTAAGTGAAGCACCAGAAGAAATCTTACCGCCCAGTCTGGAACGACTGTGGTCCTATACATGTGAGTGGACTAATGGCCACAATGTGAGCAGTATGGCTTGGAACAAGTTAAACCCAGTGAGTTACCAAATTTATTCTTCTAACCTTTTTTCTAGAATTGGATGGGTAATTGTCAAGGTAAAATACTAGCTTGGGAGTAGGGTTCAAGATGCTGGGTAAATGTGTGACAGGGAGGGATTCATCCCTGAGGTCAGACAGGTGGTGGTTGCTTCCTGCAGTCTGTATCTTCCTCTGCCATATGCTGACTTAGCCGCATTGATCCACTCTTTCATGATCTTCAGGATAGATAATTGCACCTCACCATTTCTAAGAATGAGCAAATCTACCTTGGAGATCTTCAGTTGGTTCAGTATACAGCAGCTTACCTTCTCAGCAGCACTGGTCTCAAAGGGCACTTAACCAGGATGTTCAGATAACTACACTGGTTATAGAATTTTGGGTCAAATTAAAAATCTCTGTACTAATCTTTAAGACCATTCATGGCATTGATCCAAGATGGTATAGGGACCACCTCTTGCTCTGTGACAATGATCTCCCTAGATCGCTGCATTTCTCAGGAATGAGGACACCAACAACCTTGAGAGTAAGACTCATGAGAATGACAGGCACAGCTTTCACAGCAGCTGGTACACGATGATAGAACTCACTTCCTGTGGAGGTCAGAATGACCTCAGAGCACTCTACTGTCAGAGCAGTATACATCTCACTTCTCTGATTTAGCTTTCCCATGGTGACAACAAAAATAACAATGTAGGGGAAGAAGGTAAAAATGGGGGAGGAGGAATATAAAAACAATCAGACTGCCTCAGGGGAAAAGGGGAGGCAATATGGCCACGTATAAAGTCTTTGGGCCAGATCCTCAGATGTAAATTGATATAAATCTGTTGGCCTGTTGGGTACTGATCCATATGTTTATACTGACTAGCCACAAACTAAGAATTGCAAGACCATTAGATGCTTATTTTTGAAATGCTCATTTCACACAAAAAAAGGTTGTTTTGTGTAGAGGAATACAATTTAAAGGAGTTGAAGAGTAAGGTCCTTGCTGCCAAGTTCCTTGCTTGTTACTTATAAACCACAAGGTGTAAATAGCAGAGGCAATGATAAAAATATTATTTGTCTTCCCTCCTTGAAATATTAAGCCCTGGAAACATTTACCAGATTGTATCAAATACTGCACATTAACATAAGTTTATAAAACACTTTATATACATCTATATAAAATGGGCAGATTTTTATAGGGGCCTGCCTTTTTTGTGGGCACAATTTGTGCTCACTAAAATTGCACTTGCAATTAATTTTCATTCATGCATAGTGAGTAGTGCCTTGCACATACTACATTAGAATTTGACGCTCAGAGTAATCTTATTTACTTTAATTACCTTACTTTGCTTATCTGACTACATTACTGAGACTGTGTACTCCGTACTTGGTACTAAGTTATCTAAGTAGAAGGATTTGCGCACTTAACTGCTGGCAGAAAGCTGCCACTTAAAATTCTAGCTTTAAATTTCTGCTTTAATTGAAGTATATCCACCAATCTGTACTTTTGGGTTTTAGGATCTTTTGGCTGTTGGTTATGGGCAGTTTGGTTTTCAAGAACAGAAGAAAGGCTTGGCTTGCTGCTGGTCACTCAAGAACCCTATGGTAACACAAGTAGAGATAAAGCACAATTTATTTTAGTTCTTGTTACTTTAATAATTTTTTTTTGGCTGTAATAATTTTGTATGATTTAATAGCAGATCATTGAGTTTCCTGTTGCTTGAGAAAGCAAGACATATAGCAGTAATGTTAATTTGTTGGCCCAGACTAAACCCCTGGAAAATGGATAATAATTAACAATTCTTCTTAATTTTAAAATGTCTAAACTACATTACTGCTGGTGAAAGATGCTAGAAAACACTGGAGACTAAAGATCTTGTTCACAGGACAGTTACAGCAAAGGGAACAAGGGTACTGCACACTTCCTCCACAATAGCCTGCCCATGTGCCTCAGATTTCACCTGGAGGAAGCATCTATAGAAAGTAGCTTAGCCTCTGTGCCCATTCATCCTCTGTACTGTGGTTTTGTAATATGGACATCTGTCCACAGGGAACTGAACTCATGTCACAAAGACCATCAAACTGCTGGTTAGAACAGTCAATTTAAACCAACTTAGGCTATGTCTACACTGCACTTTCGTCGTTAAACACCCCCCGCCCCCCCCCAAAAAGGACAAAAGTTTTAATGACAAAAACCGCTGGTGTGGACAGTGTTTTGTTGACAGGAGACACTCTCCCACTGATGTAGCTATCACCCCTCATTGGGAATGGTTTTATTTTGTCATCAGAAGAGCTTTCTCCTGGCAACAAAAAGAGTGGCTTCTCTATGTGCCTTACAGTGGCAAGGCTTTAGCAGCATGGCTGTGCCGCTGTAAGTGGCACAGTCATAGCCTTAGACTGGGCAACCTAAGAATGAAAAACTCTGTATCCGGTTTCCAATCCCCTAGCCAAGATTGTGAATTAATCAGGTTAGCTATTACCTGGATTAGATCCAGGTGTGTAGTTCCTCCTATAAAGATTTTCATACTGTGGGGAAAGCTCTTTTAAGCATTTCAAATATAAAACCAAAATTATTTACCTTGCATTTGTTTTCCCATAATCTTCCTACAGTTGCAAATTCAGGATATTTGTATTTTAAATGTAGGGTTTCCCCTTCCCAGTCCATCTTCTCATCTGCAATAAATTTTGCGCTGTATGAAAAAAAAGAGGTATTTTAAATTTAATTTCAACATCTGCAGAATGTAACTTTTCATGATATTTTCAATAAACAGCAGATTTCAAAGATAACATTTAAAAATGTGATGTTTCTGTGAGAATAGTGATCCTTGCCAAAACAAATGTTTGAATTAAAAGAAATGAAAATTGAGGGTTTTCTTTTAATATAGAATAATTTTCACTCAGAAATGTGAAAACTATCAATTTTTCACAAAATCACATTTTCTGAAATCAAAACAAAATGCAGAAACCTCATCCTGAAGTTTTCAAACTTCACTGTAAATATTTCACACAGCCCCAGCCATGATGCAGATTTCCATGGAAACACTCTAATGTCACCAACTCAAATCTGAGTTCATTACCAAATCAAATAAAAAAGAAGATAACCTATCAGGGAAAATGCTCTTATTCAGATACTTCTGGGATGGGAGTAAAGAACAGACAATAACTGGCTACAGGGCCGTCCTTAACCATACGCAAACTACGCAGCTGCATGCTGCTCCAGCCTCCAGCCTGATCCGCCCCGCTGCCTGAACTGGCCAGGAAAGCTGTCCCCACCTCTGCTCCACCCCGCCTCTTCCCACCCCTGCTCCGCCCCAGCCCCGCCCCACTCCTGCCCCTTCCCACCACTGCTCCACCCCAACCCCACCCCTTCCCCTGAGTTACATCCCCGGGGACTGCAGCAGGGGTCGGGCGCGCCTTGCACTCACCGAGTGGCAGGAAGTAAAGCGACCCGGCCCCAACCTGCTCCACCGGCTTGTGCTGGGGGGCGATTTCCCACCTGCCCCCTACAGATGTTGGGCACTGCCCCTCCCACCCACGGAGGCCTGGGGACAGTCCCCCGCTCCTCCCACAGGGGGGCTGCGTAGGGCACCACAATGTCTAGAGACAGCCCTGACTGGCTAGGCAACTGGATATTTCTGTAACTCTCTTCTTTCAATTTTGCTCCAATTTGAGGCGTTCCCTTCTCAATACGTAACAGAGATGTGCATAGATGTGCCTGGGTTCTTCCCAGCACTGCCACTTGTGCGCACCTGCTGTGTGACCTTGGACAAGTAACTTCATCTCTCTAGATCTGAATTTCCCCATCTGTAAAATCCGGACAGTAAGACGTAGGGCTTGTCTACGTTGCCCCACACTTGGATTACGGGGGTGTGAATAGTAGAGCGCACCAAAGTGCTGCACTGTAATGCCCTTGCGTGGACACTGTGGGTGTGAACCAAAAGGTTCCTAGTTTGTGCTCGAAGAGGACTATGTTAACAGGTCTACATTAATGAAATTTAGGAACCTTTTAGTTCGCACCTGGAATGTCCACCCTGGGGAACTATAGTGCAGTATTTTGGTGCACACTCACACCCCATAGTACAGACTGCAAGTCAGTATAGATATAGCCATACTTTCCTTTTTGACGTCATTTCAGATCTAGGATTGGAATAAAAGCAATGTATTTTTATTATCATTGCATTATTTTCTTTAAAAGCTATGCTATTTCTTATACACTTGTCCATTTCTGCAAGCTTTTATATGACTAAAAGTTTGCAGGATCAGGACCTCAGGGTCTATAAATTATTCTAATTTCAGTATGTAATTGCTAGATAGTTCCTGGAAGAGAGGTTCTAAAATCCGGTACGCTTATATACTTACATCTTTAGGGCCAAATCTTGCTTGCACACAAATATTATTGACTTCAGTGAGACTACCTTTGAGGGAGATGAGCAAGATTTGGCCCTAAGTGTAGTAAGCTGGGCAGTGCAACTAAAAAAGGTGAAATGCCTGTAAAAATCAGATCTATATGATAGAATACAATAACATTTGTATTGAAATGAATTGTTACATTCATTTACTATTCCCATAATATTTAATTTTCACTTCAAATGCACTTCAAACCCCAAGATCCACATTGCACTATATAATGACTTGCCCCTATGTGTCTGTGACTATTAGCTCCTTTACAACTGATTATATAGACAAATTTGAAGTCACCCAAACTGTTGAGATAATTGCATCATATTAGATCAGGGGTGGGCAAACTATGTCCCGGGGGCCACATCCAGCCATTCAGATGTTTGAATCCTGCCCTCGAGCTCCCGCTGGGGAGCAGGGTCCAGGGCTTGCCCCACTCCGGTGCTCCAGCCAGGGAGCGGGGTCAGGGGTTGGCCCCGCTCCGCATGGCTCCCGGAAGCAGCAGCGTGTCCCCCCTCCAGGCCCTACGTGTAGGGGCAGCCAGGGGACTCTGCACGCTGCCCTCGCCCCAGGCATGGCTCCCACAGCTCCCATTGGCCGGGAACCACAGCCAATGGGAGCTGCAGGGGCGGCACCTGCGGACAGGGCAACGCACAGAGCTGCCTGGCCATGCCTCTGCATAGGAGCCGGAGTGGGGACATGCTACTGCTTCCGGGAGCTGCTTGAGGTAAGCACTGCCTGCAGCCTACACCTCTATTCCCCTCCCGGGCCCCAACCCCCTGCTGCAGCCCTCTGAACCCCTTGGTCCCAACCTGGAGCACCCTCCTGCACCCCCAGCCTCTGATCCCCAGTCCCACCCCAGAGCCTGCACCCCCAGCAGGAGCCCTCACCCCCTCAACCACCTGCCCCAGCCCGAAGACCCCACCTGTACCCTGAACTCTTCATTTCTGGCCCCATCCCAGAGCCCACTCCCCCAGCTGGAGCCCTCCCCGCCTCCCACACCCCAACCCCCAATTTCATAAGCATTTATGGCCCGCCATACAATTTCCATACCCAGATGTGGCCCTCCAGCCAAAAAGTTTACCCACCCATGTACTAGATGGTTTTGTAAAGGTCTAAAATGATTTGGCTCAATATTTGTTTTACATTTTTGATTCTTGAAAATCTCATTTTTTAAACACAGTAAAAATGAATACTCACAATCAAATTCAAATAATGGTGCTGCTATAAACATTACTCAGGCTAAAGCCAAGGTTTTATAGGGAGTTAAGGAGTACAGAATCAGCCTCTAACTGGTGCCTTCCTCCCTCTAATGTTTTAGATGTTCTGTCACATCAGTGTTTATGGTACCATGAAATTAACACAGTACAGATCAACGATAATCAAGTTACTTATATGGCTCCCATCTCTACATTAGCTGAGTGCATAAGCATCAGAATTAAGAGCTGACATATATTGAAACATGCTTATTTTCAGACTAATACCCTGATGACAATGGTTAAATTCAATGGCTTCAGTAGAGTTGCATCTTCTTACAACACAGGCTAAATTTGGTCCATGTAGGCAATGCAATTCTTTAGTTGCAGTCTATAAAAGGTAAATTGCATGAACATAGCACTCTGGCTTAAACTACCTAAGTTACCTTACATTACAGTTTACCTCCAACTAAACTTCTGCTGATTAGAAAAGCACATGAATAAAAAGCAGAGAAGATTAGATGTTAAATTGTGAGATGGGCAAAAATTAGAAGTGGTGGTTTGCTTTTTTTCAAATGTCAGGTTTAGGTTGTAGTGGGGATCTGGATCCCATCCCACTTTATCCAACCCTCCAAAGTTCAGGGAAATTGTAGTCACTTATACGGTTCACTTTAAACCCATCTCTAATTCAATTTACAATACAAAAGTCACATTTCTGCACAGCGTTCCTTTCAAATTTGACAACCATAGCAGGAAATAATAGTCTCAGTTATTTAGAATATTGTCTTAAAGTTGAACCTGGTAAAGCATTTGTAGTGTTAGAAAAATAGTGGTTAGTCTAGCAATTAGCTAATAGAAGAATGAAATAAATGTGTTGTTTTCTTCTGTTCAGTGGCCAGAGCGTATTTATCAATGTGATCATGGTGTTACTGCACTGGATTTCTCTCTGGCAAACCCAAACCTTTTAGCAGTTGGAATGTACAGTGGCACAGTAGCCATCTATAATGTACAGACTCATAATACCACCGCACTTTTGGACAGCAGGTAAGATTACAAACTCCCCACCTTGTTGCACTTCTTTCATGTCTTGTTAGTTGTGGACATTCATTCCATTGCTAAAATTTAAATAAACGAGTGAACAGTAGTGCTCTTGAAAAAGTGGATTCAGTGAAGGCAGGGAAATGCTGCATAATTCCCCGCTTCCCAGCTTTGCTAATGTCTCTCAATTCTGATTTGAAACACTTACACTGTACCCACCTACAATCCTGGGACTTACTTGAAAAGAAACTGTCAGGCATGAAGACTTTGATATATATAAATGTCCATGAAAGACTAGATTAGGCCAACCATGAAGCAGCACCAGTACAACGATTTGGATACCTAAAGAAAAGTGCTTCAGTCATTTAAACATTATTCTATAATTAAATATGTAAAAATATTTTCTAAAATGTACTTTTAAAACAACTTTTCAAAACAATAGATACATGTCTTAAAACTCTGACTTTTCATAGAATCATAGAAGATTAGGCTTGGAAGAGACCTCAGGAGGTCATCTAGTCCAACCCCCTGCTCAAAGCTGGATCAACACCAACTAAATCTTCCCACCCATAGCTTTGTTAAAAACCTCTAAGGATGGAGATTCCACCACCTCCCTAGATAACCCATTCCAGTGCTTCACCACCCTCCTAGTGAAATAGTGTTTCCTAATATCCAACCTAGACCTTCCCCACCTCCCATGAAAATTAAAACAACACCTCCCATGAAAATTAAAATAACCAATTAACACATGCCCACACTCCAGAGTGTTTGTTCCTAAGTTAAACACACACCAGTTTTGTTGCTTATGTAGTAACTTTTAAAAAATGCATTCTCCCTTATTTCTGTTAACTTATAGCTCTGTTTGTGCGTTCCTTTATTTCAGTGAATCTTTTGATAAGCATATAGGCCCTGTATGGCAGCTGAAGTGGATTGAACAGGACAGGGGCACAACGGGAGATGACAAAGGAGAGATATTAATCTCTATCTCAGCAGATGGCAGAATAACCAAGTGGCTTATACGCAAAGGACTAAGCTGCACTGGTAAGCCTATTCTCTCAGGACTTTCTACACTGGGCTATTGCACAATACCTTATTCCAGGCAATTTCCCTGTGTATCATAGAATCATAGAATATCAGGGTTGGAAGGGACCTCAGGAGGTCATCTAGTCCAACCCCCTGCTCAAAGCAGGACCAATTCCCAACTAAATCATCCCAGCCAGGGCTTTGTCAAGCCGGGCCTTAAAAACCTCCAAGGAAGGAGACTCCACCACCTCCCTAGGTAACGCATTCCAGTGCTTCACCACCCTCCTAGTGAAATAGTGTCTCCTAATATCCAATCTAGACCTCCCCCACTGCAACTTGAGACCATTGCTCCTTGTTCTGTCATCTGCCACCATTGAGAACAGCCAAGTTCCATCCTCTTTGGAACCCCCCTTCAGGTAGTTGAAGGCTGCTATCAAATCCCCCCTCATTCTTCTCTTCTGGAGACTAAACAATCCCAGTTCCCTCAGCCTCTCCTCATAAGTCATGTGCTCCAGACCCCTAATCATTTTTCTTGCCCTCCGCTGGACTCTTTCCAATTTTTCCACATCCTTCTTGTAGTGTGGGGCCCAAAACTGGACACAGTACTCCAGATGAGGCCTCACCAATGTCGAATAAAGGGGAACGATCACGTCCCTGGATCTGCTGGCAATGCCCCTACTTATACAGCCCAAAATGCCATTAGCCTTCTTGGCAACAAGAGCACACTGTTGACTCATATCCAGCTTCTCGTCCACTGTGACCCCTAGGTCCTTTTCTGCAGAACTGCTACCTAGCCATTCGGTCCCTAGTCTGTAGCTGTGCATGGGATTCTTCCGTCCTAGGTGCAGGACTCTGCACTTGTCCTTGTTGAACCTCATCAGGTTTCTTTTGGCCCAATCCTCTAATTTGTCTAGGTCCCTCTGTATCCGATCCCTACCCTCTAGTGTATCTACCACGCCTCCTAGTTTAGTGTCATCGGCAAACTTGCTGAGAGTGCAGTCCACACCATCCTCCAGATCATTAATAAAGATATTAAACAAAACCGGCCCCAGGACCGACCCTTGGGGCACTCCGCTTGAAACTGGCTGCCAACTAGACATGGAGCCATTGATCACTACCCGTTGAGCCCGACGATCTAGCCAGCTTTCTATCCACCTTACAGTCCATTCATCCAGCCCATACTTCTTTAACTTGGCAGCAAGAATACTGTGGGAGACCGTATCAAAAGCTTTGCTAAAGTCCAGGAATAACACATCCACTGCTTTCCCCTCATCCACAGAGCCAGTTATCTCATCATAGAAGGCAATCAGGTTAGTCAGGCACGACTTCCCCTTGGTGAATCCATGCTGACTGTTCCTGATCACTTTCCTCTCCTCTAAGTGCTTCAGAATTGATTCCTTGAGGACCTGCTCCATGATTTTTCCAGGGACTGAGGTGAGGCTGACTGGCCTGTAGTTCCCCGGATCCTCCTTCTTCCCTTTTTTAAAGATGGGCACTACATTAGCCTTTTTCCAGTCATCCGGGACCTCCCCCGATCGCCATGAGTTTTCAAAAATAATGGCTAATGGCTCTGCAATCTCATCCGCCAACTCCTTTAGCACCCTCGGATGCAGCGCATCCGGCCCCATGGACTTGTGCACGTCCAGTTTTTCTAAATAGTCCCGAACCACTTCTTTCTCCACAGAGGGCTGGTCACCTTCTCCCCATATTGTGCTGCCCAGTGCAGCAGTCTGGGAGCTGACCTTGTTTGTGAAGACAGAGGCAAAAAAATCATTGAGTACATTAGCTTTTTCCACATCCTCAGTCACTAGGTTGCCTCCCTCATTCAGTAAGGGGCCCACACTTTCCTTGACTTTCTTCTTGTTGCTAGCATACCTGTAAACAGCCCATAGATAAAACATTTCAGAATTGTTAAATATCTGAAGTACTTATGAGTTATTCAGAATGTTCTAATATGTCACTATCTCTTTCATGTAAAATTCATATTCCATGTACTGTCTATTTGCATAGATCTGATGAAACTGAAGCGAACCGCAAGTGAAAGGAAAAAACTAACTGGTGAAAAAGAAAAGAAAAGTGAAGCTCTGATATCTCGACAGGCACCTGGAATGTGCTTTGACTTTCATCCAAGGGTAGGCTCAGGAAATCCATTGTGATTATTAATGTTTCAAATTCAGTTGACTGAAATTTTATATATTAGAACAAAACATTATAGGTCAGATCCTCAGCTGGTGTACAGTGATGGAGCTATACCATCACAGCTGAAGATTTCACCTCACGTGTTTAAACAAACACTAAGTTGTAGTAGTCTCCTGGATTCTGGAGACATAAGCTAGACCAGCCCTAACTGCTGCTCTAACTGTGAATATTCACATAAGAATGAATGAAAATTTCAAAAGAGAAGCTGTCTGGTGCCAGAAGATTAATACACTTGCCTTTTACTTTTAGCTGATTTTATTCAAGGTTGGTTTACGTCACCAGTGAAACACATTTGGAAATCTCTTTTTTCCCAAGTGAATTTTTCCTGTCTCACAAGTTCATTGCATGGATCTCTGCATTGTAGGCACTCTCTAATGAAAGCCCCCAAACAGTTCAAAAATGGAGATCAGGATTCAGGTATAGGGGAAGCTTGCACTGCAGTTACCCATGTTTCTCCAGCAGTAGCTATAGAATGCTTCTGATGTACATAAGCGCTAACAATATTACCCAAAACTGATCAGAGAGAAAACCAAGCAAGCTAACCCCTATATTTTGTGAGTTTTAATTATGTTGCTTTGATTGACTTTGGGCCTGATCCCAAGGGCAGGTGAACAAACACAGTTCTCATTGAAGTCAGTGGGAATTTGAGTGCTCAGCATCTCCCAGCAATTTCACAGCCTAAACTCCACACAGCTCTTTAAATATGTCAGGATAAATATCCTACAGGTTGAATCCCAGTTTGGAATATCTGGATTTTTGTTTCAGAATACTAATATATACCTGGCTGGGACAGAAGAAGGGCATATTCACAAATGTTCTTGTTCATATAATGAGCAGTTCCTAGAGACCTACCGAGCACATAAGGTAGGTAAAATTAAATAACAGAAAAAGTGATTG